TGTTGCTATCTGCAATCTTACTATTAATTTCCATTTTGAAAAAAAGACTTCACTGTTTGATTTTATGAGGGGAAGTGAGAACTATTGGGAGCTGTTTTAAGTTTTCTTTTTTAACTTATCAAGCTGAGAGAATCAATTGACAGTATTAGTTACCTTTACCCACCTAAAAGATTTACAATTCCCACCCAGTTTTCTGCTAAATTATATGTAGACATTAACAGCAGCTTATTTTAACGGAAAAGGGTTTCACTCTTCATCCCCCTCCCTTTGGCCATTAGTCATCATAAAAAGTACTTAACCACAGGTGATACCCACCTGTGTTGTAAAATAAAGGAACTTGGTAGATTTAGTAAATCGTCAGGTCTCATCTGTAAATTTTTTTTCCCCTCCAAAGGTTGAGATTGTCTTTGTTATATTTGTAGCAGATAAAAGCTTTTCTAGAGGTGTACTTTTTCTTTTTAATTGCTAAGGCAATTTAATAGTCACTGTTGCTTTTGGTTTTTAAACCACAGTGACCTTTTTATCTGCAATCCCAATCAGTGGTGTTTTTTTTATATATATAACATTGCCATCCTTGTATCAACTTTCAAGTGTTAACCGTTTAGGCTCAAAAAAGAATTTTTAAAGCATATATGTTGAGGTGTTTTAAGTAATTGTTATACTTAAATCTTATCTGAATATATCAAATTAGGGGAAGAACTGATAGATTGGAATTCCAAGTTAATCAGAAACTTTTTTTTAATCATTTTATTATGGGCTCATACAACTCTTACATACATCAATTGTGTGAACCACATTTGTACATTCATTGATCAGAAACTTTTTAATCCTAGCTTTTGAAAATACTAGAAGAATGCTTCTAGTACTTAAAAATGAGATTTCATTTGTTAAATAACTCCATCTTTTACTAAAAAGATACAAAGATGTTAACTTTCTATAGGCTGTGGAATACTTATATTAAAGAGAGACAGGACTATTACTAATAGGGCCTCCTTTTTTTGCATTTTAGAGTCTACCCTAAGAATCTGAGACATAAGTTCTATTTGTCCACTGCTTAATTCATCATAAGTACACTGTATATGATACTTCATTTTCTATTTTGAGTTTAAAGACCTGAAATTTAAGGACTTCAGGAAAGAAAATATGCTTGGCTAGTTCTGGTTAACTGACCCTGATAATGACTCAAAATTACCTTCTGCCTTGGAGGTGAAGTTCAATTGAACATTTATTTTTTGTTTGCTTGTTTTTAATAAGGCCACAATGAATGGGCTCAAACAATAATTGTGAGGATGGTGCAGATAGCCAGTGTTGTGTTTTCTTCTGATGTACATGGATCGCTGTGAATTGGAACTGACTCCCCTGTACCTAACAACAACAGGTGTTCTCGCCTCCTCCTTGAAGGCAGGCAGGAGAACTTGCTATCTATTTTGAGATGTCTGGCAATTCGAATCTAGGTAAATGTAAGTAAATCAAGTGATTAAATGATGAGGTAGAATTAATTTGTAAGGATTCAGAAAATAGAGCTGAGCAATTTTGTGTGTCTGAGTGAAAGGGAAGGCTCCTAGGATGTAAAGCTGTGGCGGAAGTAGCTGCTGGGATGGCAAGAGATAGATTTGACTCTACAGTCAGATGTTAAAAAGGCTTTGAATCCTAAATTTAAGTATTTAGGCTTTTTAATGTACTGTGCAGTAAGGAGCCATCTATGGCTTCTTCATTATGAGTGATATGATGAAAGATCACAGAAATTGCTGCCCAAAGAGTATATTTGAAATCACTTGAAATATTGAAGGAAGGAAATTAGGAAGGCTTATGTTGCACATGAGGAGCAGTGGTGGGTAAAGAATAAGATATTTTAAAAGAGTTCCAGAAAATGGTGTTGCCATGTATATCAAGTATGGAAATGCCCTTCACAGTTGGAGGGTGGTGGGGCCAAGGTTGGTGAGGGGGAGCTGTGGTTTTTGCTTGTCTTCTTAAAAGTTGTCAGTTGTTTGCTTTACATAGTTTCAACCAAAATTGGGTTTTTGATCTGCAAACATTTTAGTGTATGTTATAGAAATTATCAAGATTTTACGTATTCTTTAAAATTTTTAAATTGAACTTCAAAGGTGTTATGCACACGTTCCCCCTCAATGCTCTAGGGCTTTTACTGTAGGTTAATTTCTTTGAATATATCCAAATTGTTTATAACATGCTTTGTAGTACAGCTGTGAAGGAAAGAAAGGTGGTGCTTAATTTGTGCCTCCTTTCAGGACTGCTTCTGGTCTCTTGAGTAGATGGAATGTTTGTAGGTGTTGGCTAGAGTTCACCTTAAAAGAGGAGGTGGTTGGCTGATAAAATTGAAGAACCGGGCGCAAGACCGGAGCGGCGCAGACAGCTGCTGCGGGACTGGGGGGAGAAAAAAAATTGAAGAACAAAATCAATTTTTCTATATATATATTTTTACGAAAACCACCTAGAATTTAATTGCTACTGAATTGATTCCAACTCCTAGCAATGCTGTAGGACACAGTAGAACTGCCTCTTAAGTGTTCCATGTGGTTCTTTTTTTTCCCGTGGAGCAATTAGTGAGGTCAAACTTAAAATCATTCAGTTCACAGCTGAACCCTTTAGCCACTGCCCTATTTGAAATTAAAAAGTGTGTGTTAGTATATTTTGTTCGAGAATAGAGGAAATGTAGGGAAAGGTTTTTCCTCAAAATCTGACTTTAGTGATAAAGGTATAGTGACTCGGAAGCCTTTTTTCCTTTTTTTTAAATTCTAAAACTCTGTGGGTTTTAAAGCTTGTTGGTGAAATTTTTAAGTAATAAATTTGATAGTACAGATAAGACTTGTTCAATTTCTTTTTATGAAAGATAATAGAATGCAAGTAAATTAAGTTCCCGTTTAACTCAGCTTCATCAATTTTTGTCTTCAGCTTTATTTTTTTAATAAGCAAATTATTCATTTGTGGTATAACATATAGTACAACAATTATGGAATGACCATAAATTGTGAACACCAAATTCCTTTAAAATTTGTCTGAATGTGTGAGAACTCTTTAATAATATCAGTGATATTATTTGATAGTATCAAATTACTATCCTTAGGGTTTTTACAAATTAATACTGATTGTTGCTTGTTCCTATGCTTTAACACATTTAGTCAGGCAGGTGGAGGTGAGAAGTGGGGATAATAATTAGTAAACATTATAGATAAACTGAGAAGTAAACCATGAAAAGGAAATGTGGTTTCCAGTCCCTTTTTAAAGTTCTACCAGGTATTATTGTGAGTCCTCATTGTTATCTCATGGTTTTCATTAGTCTGGGTGTCTAGACTTGGCTGACTGAGATAGCTGCTTATTTTCCTTGCCTGTGACTCTATAGCCTGACTTACTAAAAGTAAAAACAGTTTCGTGACATCAGAAGGTGAGACTGCAGGTGAAGAATGTTTGAACAGGTTCTTAGTATTTTATTTCTGATTTGGCTTAGTTTAATTACTGGCTTTTAATATAGCCCAACTACTTTCGTTTTTATATGAGGTGTGGGAAGGCCTTCAAAAATATCATGGACATTTTTTCATTTGTCTTTAAATTTACATTTTTCTGGCCCTTTTCATGCCCCCTCATAAACTTGTACGCCGTTTGAAATTGCTACATTCGTGCCAGCATTTGGACATTTCAATTGATTGAGATATAAAAACTGACCAGTATATGAGCCATATTTAAAATTTATGCAAAAAGACCATACGTTTTACAGGTAATTTCACAGTTTTTATATGAGCTCTAATTTATTATATGTGTGTTAATTGCTAAATCACTTCTTTGAGATGAAAGCTCCCACAATTATCCAAATGTTGAGTATACATTACTACAAGCCTTTGCAGATAAAGACCACATTAATCTCATTCAAAATTCAACATACAAGTATGACCTTAAAGAAAGGAAATACATGCAAACTTACAAGTAATAGTATAGGAAACTGAAATCATTTTCTAAATGGTTAATACCCTGTTTCCCCGAAAGTAAGACATCCCCCGAAAATAAGGCCCCCTGAAGCTACTGTGACTCTGGACCATAGCGGCGGTGTAGCTCACTGTTGGCCCCAGAGCAGACTGGAAGTGCGAGGTCTCTTTTAATAAAACAATAAATGTGTACTGTATTCTTCATGAAAAAATAAGACATCCCCTGAAAATAAGACCTAGCGCATCTTTGAGAGCAAAAATTAATATAAGACACTGTCTTATTTTCGGGGAAACAGGGTATGAGCAGGCAGTATTTTCTCCTTATGAGATTAATAACAGTTATTGGATTGAGAGACTGGAAGTATTTGTTATTAGCCTAAGATCTTTAAACATCCAACAGGAAGGAGAAAAAATTGCTGTTTCTGCAGACTGAAATGAAAGGATTGCATGAACACTTAGGTTTCTTACAAATCTCAAAGGAGTCAACTTCCTTGTATTTACTTAAAAGTACTTGGTATTTCTTTTTCTTTTTTTAATTTAATTTTATTTTTATACTTGGTATTATGGAAGTAGTGGGAAATACATTTTGAGAAATTTTGTTTGCATAAATGCTTATAGAATTTTCTGTGATTTGATATTAGAATGGATTATGATATAGCATATATATTGGTTTGTGTTTCTTTTTAGTACTTAGTACTATGCATATAGGTTTTTTTTTCTACCTAATGCTAGCTATATTAATACACACCATTAGTGCTTGCTAGAGGGATTGTTCTTGTTCTGTGACAATGAGTAGGTACATGGTGATTCTTGAACTGCTTGTATTTTGTACACTCGTACTTTTTATTCTTTCTGGGGTGTATCCTACAGCCACCACCAACAAACAAAAAGTTGTGAGAACTTTACTTGGCTTCTTGTATGTAGGACAGCTGTTCTCAACCTATGGGTCGCAACCTCTTGGGGTCAAACGACCCTTTCACAGGGGTCTCCCGATTCATAACAGTAGCAAAATTACAGTTATGAAGCAGCAACAAAAATCATTTTAATGGTTGGGGGTCACCACAGCTTAAGGAACTGTATTAAAGGGTCGCGGAATTAGAAAGATTGAGAACCACTGATGTAGGAGGTAAGGTAGGCCTACTTTGAGGGTTTTTAAAACCCATTAGATAATTTGATTGAATTCTCTGCCCATGTCAGCTAAGCAGCTGTTTTTAATGCTTGTTGGCTTCAGGAGCATGTTATTCAATCAGAGGCAGGTTAAGTGGAAGCTGGTGAAAACAGGGCAGGTACCACTTCGTCCCAGCATTTTTTTTTTTCCATTGAAATTTCAAATTCTGAATGGCTTTATGAATTTCTTTGAAATTTTTGCGATTATTTCATAATAAAGACAATCCAGGGTTGAAAAAAAATAGCGTTTGTTCACACTGGGCTTTAAGTCTGTTGGATGTTTTGTCGTTCTTTAGGTTGATTTTATTGGCAGTTGATTTACTTTTTCAGATAAGGCTCAGTTTTCTTAGGGCTGTTGAAGTGCAAGGACATCCAAGTATAAACTAGGATTTGCAGGGTAGAATTGAAAGACAACTGTTTCTTAATCTTGAATGATTCCAGGAGAAAATTAGACGAGTCCTATTCCCCTGAAGATTAAAAGAGATGGACAAGAAGTTTGGTAGCGTTAGATAGCAAAGAAGGGAATATATTGATTGCATCATGGGTAAGCAAGGCTTTTAAATGTTTGATGGTGTCTCTTGAAAAGACGTCCTGTTGCGTTGCTTTAGCAACCAATTGAAAGAAAAATCACATTTTCCTCAAATTGGTACAAGGGAATTGGGATATATTTAGGATGCCACTGAATTATTTTGCTTATATTAATTCCTGAGACAAGCAGGGGAGGGGGAGGCATTTTGACCGTAACACTTTCCTCATATTAGAGAGAGACTTTACCATTCTAAGAACAAATTTGAGGATTTAGTATGATTTTGGTGTATAGCCTAGTAAAATTAAAGGTTTGTATTATAGTGGTTCACTAACAAAACTATACATAGACAATGTCTAACAAGAGTTGTAATTGTTCATAGTTTCTATTTCTTCTGCTGCTCTTGGATAGTAATAAAAGATTTTATGCCAGAGGATCTACTTTGTAGAAGCAACCCATGGCTTCTAATGCAAGCCATTGGCCATAGATTTGTTTTATTTTTCATACTGAATATGCTGCTTTGATAGTTTATCATAGGAGAAAAAGCCTAAGTTTCCATGCCTCCTAGAGTCATTGTAAGTAGCTACATGAGAAAGGTTGGTATTCCACAAAAAAGTAGCACTATATTTTCAGTTCTATTTTCATCTGAACAAACAGGCTAAGTCTAGAGGAATTTGTACAACTGTTAATAGAAAAGTTCTAAAATTCGTTTAAAGTTGAATGCTAGCATCGTGATAGTTACTTAGATTAATAAATCTTAATGGACGGAAACCAGATAACGTACTTATATATCAATATATATCCGTCACTAAGAAAACAGTTTTAGATTTAGATTAACATATAGCTAATGAGTAACATATAGATTTAGATTAACATATAGCTAATGAGTATTAGTAAATATTAATTATGCACACTAGTATAACACGAGTTCCGATTTCTTTGCAAAATGGGAAAGACAATTTTTCCCCTTGTTACAAAACACTTTTATCTTAAAATAGAATTTGTCTAGGTTTCTCTTGAAAGCAAGTTCTTAATCACTTTTAAAGAAACCAGGCTCTAATATAAGACTTGTGTGGTCACTGAAGGGGGGAGCATAAGTAGACATAAATGCAAAAACATGCAAAGAAACTGAGTAACGGTGAGATTATATAGTCTAAGGTACGGATTTTTGGGGTGGTGTAGCATTTTAAATGGCATGGTTGCAAAAATACACACTCACAAATCAAGATTTTGCAGGCAATCCTTCTCTTCATTTTTTCAGTATGCTTGTTTTCCTTCAAATCCTATCTGTCTGGTTAAATCAGAGTGAGCCAAGATAGTGACCAAAAAAATTGAGAAGGGGATCGTAGTTGTTTTCTCGTTTTTAAAGATCTTGGACCTTAGCCCACGTCCTGTTATGTGAGTTTAGATAGGCTTATACTACTATTTTAGCCTCGGATGCTTTGCTTTAGCTGTATCTTGATTTCTTAGCATGAATTTAGTGAAAGCCTAAGATCCCCCAAATCTTTAAATTATAAATCAGTCGAAACATAATTTAGGTGGGTGAAATTACAATTTAGGAGCTAGGATGAAATATGAAAGGGGAGGAGGAGGGTGAGAAATATGGTAAAAACATTCAGAGAAATTCGGTAAATTCTCTTAGAATCTAGACTTTTGAGCAATTTTTTACATTATAAAATTGTTTTTTAATAAACTAGTTACTTGCACTTACCTGCTGGCTTTTCCATTTGGTAGATAACATTCTGAACTCCCCCAGCAGAGTTTTGTAATCCCCACGTGCTTAAACATACTAAATGTTCTTTTTCCATTAAGGTTAATGTTCGGGAAGAAATTGAAGAGTTTTTTCCAAGAATGTGGAAGATTAATCAAGATAAAAGAAGGCTAATGAAAAATATTAAAGATCAGAAAATTAAAATTGAATGGGGGAAAAATTTGAACAGAAGATTGGTCAGATAGAAGCCCTTGAATATTTTTAAGGCTATTTTGAATTGTTTGAATTGGGGAAGAATACGCGAAGTATGAAAAATGAAAAACTCAATGAAGAATGAAGAGAAGTAGAAAGCAAGAGTGAAGTAGAATTAAAAGAATCTGGAAGAATGAATGGGTCCTAGGTTAAGTAAATGTATGGTTTATGTTCCAGTGTCTGTATGATCAAGTTGTAGATGAATTTTGCATGATTACTTAGTTAATAGAGATTTGATGATCTGGTTCAAGTAGGGAATTGTTGAGGACAGTTAGCAGTATTAACAGTGGGTTATTAATGAGCTGAAATTTTTTCTGGAGGGTGATGCCTAACCATTTGTTTTTCAGGAGCAATCAATATAAAATAATTATGGTACTTTAAAATGTTAGGTGTTAGGCATCTATGTGACCAGTGCCATTTGTAATACTGTCTTCTTTGTTAGGAGTCTCGCTCTCAGTCAAAATCTCCGACGGGAACTCCTGCTCGTGTAAAATCGGAGAGCAGGTCAGGCTCTCGTAGTCCATCACGGGTTTCCAAACACTCCGAATCTCATTCTCGATCACGATCTAAATCTAGGTAAGTGTATTCAAAATAACACTTTGAAAATGTTTTCCTTGTGTTTTCAGGACAAAAGCACTCTTACCAAATTCTGTGTTTTTACTGCATTTTGTGTAGAAATTTCACTGGAGACTCAAAATCATGAAGCACTTTTTCTCAAATTGTGGAATTTGGGATTTAGTACCTTCTAGACTTACTAAACCAGGACCCTCTCTTGATTTGGTTAATCTATTGGCTATAATAAGTTAATTAGTACAAATTGAATATATGGCACCTTGTGTGCTTTACTAATATGCCAATTGAAAATTAATATTTAACTTTTAATATCAAGAGCTGCACAGTAGATAATTGTTTACATTGGAAAACTTGCATGTATTTTAGTGGAGAAGGTTTACATGTATTTGTTGTACTGAAAATTATGGTGATTTGGGGAGCTTTTTCATGATTAACATTCCAATTACATCCTTTACCTGAAGATTTTGGCCATGTGGGATGGGCCCTGTACAGGTGTAATTTGGAGAAGAGAAAAATTCCCAATGATTCAGACAGAGCTTGCTGCCAACGAGACTACCACGAACAACTTGTAATACTGGAGCGGGGGAAAAGGTTAAAAGTAACTGAAAACCAACAGTTTGATATGTCACTGTAATTTTTTCACTAGAAGCATAGACGTTAAATATGTTTTTGAATAGAGTCTGCTTGCCAAAGGGGCATGAAACAGAAGAAAGAAAAGGTAGGGGCCCTGACAAGTTTTAAATTAGTGTTTTACTTACCATAATTATTTTGTTATCTGAAATAACAGCGTTTAGATTTATTCATGCTTTTTGTTTTTAATTTTGGCTCTTTAAATTAATGGTAAGGTAAATGAGAGGTTATCCTGTTTCATATTCTTGGAGGGTGGGACGTAAACCTTCATACTTGGTGCACCATAGTAGTTTACTTGTTAATTGCTTGCTTTATAAATAATCCAAATTCTTAGCCTATAGCCACTAACACTATTTTGTATTCAATACACACATTTCAATACCTTCTCATCAAGGAACCTTTGCTCTTATTCCTATGTCTACATTTAAGTTTCTCAGCTTGATTGTTAGCCTTCTCTGTTGCATACAGCTTTCCTCATTGGGTTTCTTTTCCTTTATCCATGTTGTCTCACACTTCTCAGACCTTTATATTTATAACATTTATTGCATCCTTTGTTTTGTATGGTTCTTTTTCCACTAAGTTAATTAAGGATAGGTTGTAAAAATATTAATAAGAATTTGTTGGATTAATGACATTTCTAGGCAGAGAGGACCATTTGAGAACAGAATAGGAGATGATCTATCTAGGGGCATATCAATGGATAGATGTGTAAGACGCTGTAGAAAGCTTGAAGAAATTAAGGTGTTGAAAGTATCAGATTACATGGTTGTTTAGAGAGCTGCTGAATTAATTCAAATGGTAGGTTGCAGTGGAACAAAGATTGGGACGTAAGAATGATACTTAACCATGTAGGGTCTATAGAACCATATTGGGAAAAGTGGCCCAAAAAGGATGTGGCAATTTATGTTTGGGGTTCTTCTTTGTTTTGTATCTTTAGTTTGCTTGTAGGTGAAAAGGGATGATGAGTATAGAAAGGTTGTAGCAAGGAGAAAAGGTGGTGTAGTGATCAAGTGAATAAACGGGGCAGGGGGTGGGGGACTATTTCCTTGTGAGTGGAACTGAGAATAGGCAGGTTGATGTATATCTGTACCTTTTTTTTTTTTTTTCCCGTATGTTTACCTGTATTTTTCTTTCAAAGGTCGAGATCGAGGAGGCATTCTCATAGACGTTACACTCGATCCAGATCCCACTCTCATTCTCATAGGAGACGATCTCGAAGTAGATCATACACACCAGACTACCGACGCCGACGGAGCCGAAGTCGAAGTCACTCACCAATGTCTAACCGGAGAAGACACACAGGCAGCAGAGTATGTGATGTGTGTGTGTTTTTTACATTCATGAAATCTCACCTCTCCTGTGTGTTTAGTCATGGTGTAATACCTTCTATGAGAGCTGACGTGGTTCTCCAGAAACATATTTTTTAAAACCGCTTTATTTTTCAAAATAAACGGAAATGATACCATCTTTGCAAGCCTGTGTAATTCATTAGAGCTACTTATTACAAAAGGAATATAGAGCTAATGTTTATATATATATTTATATTTTCTTTTCTTGACTTTTGAATAGTTAAAAAGATGCATGCATCTTGATATTCTGGACATTAAACAACTGCATCTGTTTCTGTAGACTTTGTTAATGCCAAACATTTTATCTATGACAACTGAGGGGCACCTTTTATTATAAGCCTGGTGTTGATTATTTCAATGCTGTACTGTTGTAATTATTAAACTGCTTATATTTATTAACAACAAAAGCATAAGATGAAATTATTTGTCCAAGAATTAAAATTACACTTTTATGTGTAAGTAAAATTACACTTTTAAGTGTAAGAGAACATTCAGAATTGTTCTTTAGTAGAAAGGAAAACAAGGAAAGACGAAAAACTAATTCAGTCAAATTGTGTGGCTCTAGAGTGACTACTTTGACTGCTGTTATGTTTCTTCCACATAATACCAAATCACTTACTTAGGAGTCTGCCATTGTGATGTTCTGAAATTTAGTGTACGTTCACATTTTAAGGATGATTGGGAACATTGTCAGATGAATAACAGAAAAATGGATATGGAGTCTAATTAGTGAATTGCACATGAAAGTAGGTTAAGTGCAATTCTTTAGGTGTACAAAACAGATCAGAAATACATTGTTGATGTTATTAAGTTCCAGCTCATAGTGATTTTATGTGCAATGGATCACTAAACCATCTTTGCGATTGTTGCAGTTTGAACGTGTTTTTGCAGCCACATGTAAAAATGTCAGTCAGTCCATCTCATTGAATATCTTCCTCTTTTTTGCTCACCCTCCTGATAACATGTCCAAAGTATGTGAGGCAAAACAAAGAGAGCATTCTGCCTTTTCTTTCGAGACAGATTTATTTATTTTGTTCTGCAATCCATGGCATATGAGGGAGTAAACAAACAAACAAACAAACACAAAACAGGAAAAAGCTCCACTAGGCAGGCATCAAGCAAGTGCATGCAGTGGTGTCCCCTGGGAAGGTTTTCTGGTGACAGTGAATTTTTTCGTAAAGGCATTTTCACTCCAGCCTCGTTTTTGGGGGGTGGCCAATTTAAGAGAACAGCATGCAGTTGAAAAAATGTGTTTCCTGCATGGGGGAAAATGCTGCAAAAACTGTTGTGATTTTGAGCTAGCTCACAAGGACAGCACTATGGGGAAAACTCATGTGTATGAGTGGTTTTCTCCTTTCAAAAAAGGTGAAATGTCATTTGATCACAAACCTTTCTGGACATACATCAACTTCCTGAATGGATGAAAATGTGGACTCTCTGTGCATTTGGAGTTTATTCCATCAGGTCATACTGTTAACCAAGCTTTCTATTTAGAAGTTCTGAAAAAATTGTGTTAAGTGTTCAACCGAAAAGGCTTGATTTGTAGCAGACAGGGAACTAGTTTTGCCACTACAACGATACACCTGTTCATGCAGCCATTTTAGTGCACCAGTTTTTTGCAAAAACAGCATGTTTCTGTTACCCCACACACCTTACTCACCTGACCTTGCTCCATATGACTTCTTTTTGTTTCCGCGAATGAAGAGGGACAAGAAAAGTTACTGTCTAGAAAAGGGTGGCAACATATGTACAAATATGCCTGATAAAATTGATGTATGGATTGTAATAAGAATTGTAAGAGCCCTCAATAAAATGATCCAAGAAAAGGGGTAAGAAAGGACAGCGATATGACATTGTAGAAGGGGTGAAGACAAAAATGAGGGGGTGGTGCTGACAGCCATCCAAACAGATGAGTTTGAAAAATGTTTCCAAGAATGGAATCACAGATTAGACAAATGTATTAAGTGTAATGGGGATTACTTTGAAGGTGATAAGGTGGTTGGGTTTTGTTTGTTTTTTTAACAGCATTGGAAAATTCAGCGGGTGTTATTGTGCAGCTTTTTTTTTTAATCTCATCTATGCATTGTTCTTTGCCAACAACATAATTCAAATGCATTAATTCTTCTCTGATCTTCCTTATTCATTCGCCAGTTTTCACATGCGTATTAAGAGATGGAAAATACCATGACTTTGGTCAGTCTCACCCTAGTCTTCAAAAGAGACATTTTTGCTTCTGAAAATTTTTGAAAAGAGGCCTTTTGCAATAGGCTTGCCTAAGGCAATGTGTTGCTTGATTTTTTTTTCCCCATTGCTGCTTCCATCGGTATTGATTGTGAACCCAAGTAAAATGAAATCTTGACAAAAATCAATCTTTTTTTCCATTAGGCATAATTAAGTAAATGTTCTGAGATTCCCATTCTCAATGTTATCTATAATTTATGATCCACATAATTGAAGGCCTTTGTATTAGTATAACTGAAATAGATGTGTATAGCTAAATTGAAGAGGAACTCTTTCCTTAGGTTACATTTTTAAACATGAGATTGCTAAGGAATAGATACTAGAGTAAGAACATTTTTATTCAAGTATAATTCCGTAGAAGGCAAGTGTTAAGTGTACTGCATTCATTATCTTTTAGTGTTTCCAACTTACTGAAAACCATATGCTGTTATGTTAGATGAGATCTAAGCAAAATCTGTGCATGTATTTTTAATCACATTTAAACAACCTTTGTTCAATAGGCAAATCCGGATCCTAACACTTGTCTTGGAGTATTTGGCCTCAGTTTGTACACAACAGAGAGAGATCTTCGTGAAGTATTCTCTCGATATGGACCATTGAGTGGTGTTAATGTGGTTTACGATCAGCGAACTGGACGGTCCCGAGGATTTGCTTTTGTTTATTTTGAAAGAATAGATGACTCAAAGGAGGTAAATTTGTTTTTACAATTGATAGTAGTACTTTTTATGAAAATAAATGTAATTTAGTTTTGGGTTTTTGTTGTTTTTTCCCCCCCAAGTTACCAGGGAAAGTTATTGTGTTGTATTAAAGAATAAATACTTTTAAAATTCCCAATGGGCATGATTGTAGATTACAGTATTCAATTACTGTTATATGTTGATTAACCAGACTCCTAGTTCTGCACATAAGTCCTACCATATACTGACATGTTCCAAACTGCTTATTAGTGTTACTTTAGAAGTGTTGGCAATTAGATTTTCTAGCTTATGCTTTC